CCTTTCTCTCTCCGCCCATCTTTCTCACCCCGCCTCTCCTCCTTTCCCGTCTTGTCTTCTCCCCCTCTTACTCCGGTGAGACACGGAGCAGTCGCCGGCGAGTGGGAACAACCACAGTCAGGTTTCAGGCCTGGTTGTAGTGCCGTGGTGACACACAAACCAGACCCGTCTTCAAGCCAGAGGTGCGGATTCTTTTCCGACGAGGTCAAGCTATTTTCAGGTGGCTTTGGGCGGCGAGCGAGACGGGCACGTGAAAACAGTGAAGAACAACCCGAGTATCAGCCAGGAACGACAGGAGCTAGACGCGAACGAGCTAGGTGGACACAAATTGAATATACTAAGACAAGTCCCAGGTTATACTCACGGGAATTGGTACCTCCCGTTTGACTATTTCCCTCTATTGTGTTAGTAAAATTGTTGTCCTTTTAGTTCTTATTAGTTTAGTCACCGTATTAGGGCGTCTGCAGTGACATCTTGTCTTATTCTAGTTTATTATATGGTGTCTGTTAGTGATTCCCCCTAGTCTGCCGGAGTTATAGTGGCTGCAGTCTGAGATGGTCAAGTGAGTTCATGTCCTCGGGGCATGCGGGGGGTGGGTCGGGAGGTAGGGCAGGGGCTAGGAGGTGGGTTGGGATGCAAGGGAGGTAAAGGGAACAAGGGTGTCCATCGGTTGAGAATTGGGTCATGGAACGTAGGTTCATTGACAGGTAAATCTATAGAGTTGGCGAAGATCCTCAAGAAGAGGAGAGTCAATATAGCATGTGTCCAGGAGACAAGGTGGGCAGGGTCGAGCGCGAGGGACGCGGATGGGTATAAACTTTGGAACTTTGGAACCCAAACGGGTAAGAATGAAGTCGGTATATTGGTGGATATGGAACTTAGAGAGTCTGTTGTTGAGGTTAGACGAGTGAATGATAGATTGATGATTATTAAGTTGGTGGTTGGTTAGTGCATCATAAACGTCGTTAGTGCCTATGCGCCACATATGGGCCTAGATGAAGAGGTTAAACGTCGCTTTTGGGATGGGTTGGATGAGATTATACGTCAGGTACCACCTACTAAGAAGTTATTCATAGGAGGGGATTTCAATGGACATATTGGGTCGACCGCAGGTGTGTATGACGACGTGCATGGAGGCTTCAGTTTTGGGGAGAGGAACGGAGGAAGAACCTCGTTACTGGACTTCGCTAAGGCTTTTGGGTTGGTGGTTGCTAACTCTTGCTTACCAAAGAGGGAGGAACATTTGGTTACTTTTCAAAATGCGGTGGCGAAGACTCAGATTGACTATCTCCTCCTCAGGAGGCGCGATAGAGGGTTGGGCAAGGATTGCAAGGTGATTCCAGGTGAGATGCTCATGACGTGACATAGGCTCTTGTTGATAGACATTGGTATTATGGTGAAGAGGAAGAAAATGTCTGCTCGAGGAAGACTGAGAATTAGGTGGAGAGCCTTAGCTAAGGACAAAGCTCAAGAGTTGGAAGGGCGGTTGTCGGTTATGGGAGCTTGGAGGAGCAGTGGTGACGCGAACTCTATGTGGTCAACTACAACAAACTGTATAAGAGAGGCTGCGAGAGAGGTGTTAAGGGTCTCGACAGGTGTCTCCGGCAGGCACAAAGGAGACTGGTAGTGGAATAAAGTGGTTCAAGGTAAAGTGGAAGCGAAAACGGAGGTGTACCAGACGTTAGTGGGGAGCATAGGTGAGGGGGGGAGGCGAGCATGCATGGAGAGGTATAAGGTAGCTAGGAGGGAAGCGAAGCTGGCGGTCACGGAGGCTAAGACTGCGGCTTATAGTCGTATGTACGAGGAACTAGGGGAAAAACGAGGGGAGAATAAGTTATTTAGGCTGGCCAAGCTAAGAGAGAGGAAAGCTCGAGATTTAGACCGAGTGAGATGCATCAAGAACGACGATGGTAGAGTATTGATGGAAGATTCCCAGATTAAGAGGAGATGACAAACTTACTTTCAAAAACTTCTTAATGAAGTAGGGGATCGAGATATTGTGCTCGGTGAATTGGAGCATTCCGAGAGTCACAGTGACTCTGGGTACTGCATGCGCATCAAGGTTGAGGAGGTCGTAGGAGCTATGAGTAAGATGTGTAGGGACAAAGCGACCGGGCTTGACAAGATTCCGGTAGAATTTTGGAAGTGTGCGAGGAAAACAGGTTTGGATGGTTGACTAGGTTGTTGAATGTTATTTTTAAGGCGAAGAGGATGCTAGATGAGTGGAGGTGGAGTATGATGGTCCCACTGTATAAGAACAAAGGTGATATCCAGAGTTGTAAAAATTATACGGGTATCAAATTACTGAATCACACTATGAAAGTATGGGAGAGGGTGGTTGAAGCAAGGTTGAGGATGACGGTGTCCGTCTCCGACAACCAATTTGGTTTCATGTCGGGTCGTTCTACTATAGAAGCTATATACCTTGTTAGGAGGTTGGTTGAACAGTACAGAGATAGGATGAAAGATCTGCACATGGTGTTTATTGACCTAGAAAAAGCATATGACAAGGTTCCTAGAGAAGCTTGAAGGCAAAAGGTGTGTCGGTTCCCTATATTATGGCGATTAAGGACATGTATGATGGGGCAAAGACTCGGGTTAGGATATTAGGAGGCGACTCTGAGGATTTTTCGGTTGTTATGGGGTTACACCAAGATTCTGCTCTTAGTCCGTTCCTATTCGCCCTGGTGATGGACGTGTTAACACATCACATTCAAGGGGATGTGTCATGATGCATGCTATTCGCCGATGGCATAGTTATGATTGATGAGTCGCGAACCGGTGTTAACGAGAGGCTGGAGGTTTGGAGACAAGCTCATGAATCTACGGGTTTCAAGCTTAGCAGGACAAATACGGAATACCTGGAGTGTAAGTTCAGCGCTGAGCAGAGGGAAGTGGGCGTGAATGTGAGGCTTGAATCACAGGTCATCCCGAGTAGAGACAACTTCAAGTACCTTGGGTAGGTTATCCAGGGGGATATGAGATCGACGAGGATGTTACACACTGTATCGGGGTAGGATGGATGAAGTGGAGGTTAACATCTGGAGTATTGTGTGACAAAAGAGTGCCAGTGATACTCAAAGGTAAGTTCTATAAAGCGGTGGTTAGGCCGGCCATGATGTATGGGGCTGAGTGTTGGCCGGTTAAGAAATCACATATCCAGAAGATGAAGGTAGAAGAAATGAGGATGTTGAGGTGGATGTGTGGGCATAATAGGATGGATGAGATTAGGAATAATGATATTTGGGAGAAGGTGTGCGTGGCTCCCATTGATGACAAGATGCGGGAAGCAAGGCTCATGTGATTCGGGCACGTTCAGAGGAGAATCCCAGATGCTCCGATAAGGAGGTGCGAACGGCTAGTTGTGGAGGGCTCGGGAAGAGGTAGAGGGCAGCCTAAGAAGTATTGGGGGGAGGTGATTAGGCAGGATATGGCGATGCTTCAGATTTTCGAGGGCATGGCACTTGATATGAACATGTGGAGGTCGAATATTAGGGTTGTAGGCTAGGAGGTAGTTGAGTCTTGCTTTATGCCATAACTTTAGGAGACTAGTTTGGTAGGGATNTACACACTACCCTCCCCAGACCCCACTAGTGGGATTTCACTGGGTTGTTGTTGTTGTTGTTGTATATTTTTCATTAAATACCTTTTTGATGAAAATTTGGACACAAATATTTGCCAATTCAAACGTTGTATCGGTAGTAAGAGAATAAAATCTACGAAACAACTATAATTATAAAGTTCTTCCATCAATCTTGAAAGAATTTATTTTCGTAGTAGCTTTAAAATGTGCTCCTTAGTGTTTAAATCTTTGTATGTTTAGTTATAAATTTATTAATAATGTATTAGCTTTCTTCAATATATACCTGGTGAAATATGCATATCATTTGTGATTTTAAATTTGAAGAATTTTCTTATCGTTTATATGTAACATTAAAAATAGAAAAATAATTGCTCTTTGTACAAATTTTATTTAAAACATCCAAAAAATATTTAAACGTTAAATATTGTTATAGGTGTATAACAATCATTCGTTATAAAAGCCATAAAATATTGAAACAAACGAGGACATTATACATGGGCACCTTAACAAAGTTGGTGGCCTAAAATAAAATTTTGTTACAAAGCCTTAAGTTTTATTTAAGAAAAAAAAGACCTTTCACATATATATATAACTAATCAATCACATGAATAAAAAGTTCTCTTTTTATTTTTTATGTAAGAATCTTGTAATTTTTACCTTAAAATATGAAGAAATTATTTATGAAACTAGCCATAATTTATACTATTAATAAAAAAAAGGGGCCCCAAAAATATGGGGCCTAAAGCCATGGCCTTAGTGGCTTTGGGGTTTGGTACCGTTATTATAGAGATATTTGACTTAAAATATGAAGTAAACAGTATTTCTGCATTATATATATGTTCTAAAACCTTCACGTTATTCCCTTCATCTAAGCGAGATCAACAATGACAATTAATTGGAACCGTAATCAGAGTTCGTTTGACCAAAATGCTAATAACGCGTACGTAGGAATATATTTCTTCCAGTAATTTATTTGCAGTTTTTTATATTTTAATTAAGGAAAAAGTGTAAGGACTTAAGATTAATGCACAAGAAGATTATTTGATATATCTTCAGTCACCTTACTTCATCCTAACATCTTGTTAGTGGATAATTTTGTTAGTCGGATCTCTATCTCTATTTAAAGGTGCTCATTTAATTTAAACTAATATCAAGTTCGCAAAACTACATTTTTTTTGTTTAAAGGATAATTAATATTATAACGCAAAATTAAGTAGCAATTATTGCAAACCAAGTGTTAGGTATTTGTCCTATTTTTTTTTACCATATTTATTTTTCCTATCCCTTGAAGAAAAGATAATATATTTACCATAATTAATTTATTTTTCCTCTTACAAAAATGAAAATATAATTCTTACATATTTGACTAATCTTTTTTCTTGGAGTAAAAGGTTTTGGACTTCTATAAATTAAGAATCCTTCTTTCTCATTTAGTAGCATCCACAATGTAGCCATAAGGGGTTTGAAAGTCTTGTTTAGGGAGAATTTTTGGGACAAGAATTAGTTGCCACTTTTTTGTGTCTCTTTAATTATTCTCTCGATATTTTGTACTCTTTTTTTTATTTAGTGAATTGCTCACCGCCTGTGGACGCAGGTCAATTGGCTAAACCATGTTACTTGTTTGTGTCTCCTTTGGTATATTTTTCTTTTGTCATCTAATTTATTATCGTTGAAGACATACTTTACTAGCTTCTGCATGACAATTGATTATTTCGATCCTAACAAGTGGTATCAGAGTGAGGTTTAAGACAGATTCATCTAGGTGGATTTGGTTCTAGCCGCAACCTATTTGACAGTAATCATGATTTTATCTGAGAAATTTGACTGGACTGTTACTGATGTTCGGACAAACTTTTTGGTGGAGATTTAGAGATGCAATATGCTGAAAGTTATGTGAAGAAGCTAGATCAAATTAATTTTGTTAGAAAATTCAGGTCAAGGGAGAGAATTGTTGGGTCCTGATTTTCCCGCCATATTTATTTTTCCTATTCCTTTAAGGAAAGACACCATGTTTACCATAATTGGTTTTTTCATTATGAAGGAAATATAATTCTTCCATATTTGACTAGCATTTTTTTTCTTGGAGAAAAAAGTTTTGGACTTCTATAATTCAAGGATCATTCCTTCTCATTTAGTAGCATCTACAATAAGGGTTTTGAGAGTCTTATTTAGGGGGATAACTTTTAGGTGCAAGTGTTAGTCTGACACTTGTACGTGCCTTTTTGTAAAATTGTTCTTTCGATATTTTATATTTTTTTTATATAGTGAATTGATCATCTCCGTCTGTGGATATATATAGGTCAATTGACTGAACTACATTAAATATTTGTGTCTCTTTTGATATATTTCTCTTTTATTAGCTAATTTAGCATAGTTCAAGATATACTTTACTAATTTCCGCCTGATTACTTTGATCCTAACACTAAAGGAGCAGTGCTACCTCTCGCATAGTCGTAGCTAGATCATACTGTCAAATTCCTATTACATTCCAAAACTTTCCTCGTAAAAGTAATTCATAAAATGTCTGTCCGTAAAACTGCACATTGAGTTCACCTCTATAACTTACATCATTTTTCCACCGGACTAGTCTCTAGGCTGAACTCTACCTTTCCCTATCTACCTGAGGGACTAATTAGTTATGCCAATAATTCATATGGCTCAAAATAATGTCATACAAGTATCACTATCTATAACATAAAATTTCTTAAAACCATAAGATATTGCTAATAATCACGAATGCCAAAATAAGTTGAAATTAAGATTAAGGAAAGGCAATGGTACAACACAAATTGCTCCTATAAGTCTACATCATATGAATACATGCAGCTTATAATTATCACATACAAACACATATTTACTAACAAGTATACACACAGCAAGAAAATTGAGGATCGCTTATAATTATCATAAGCATAATTAATATTGTCATTTACAACACAAATGGACTAGTCTTTGGCCATAAATTGAGGCAAACTAGTGCAGAGAATATTTAGCAAGGAGGTTTAACCCTATTATGTACATGAAGAGAAAAAAAATGTGACAGT